ATTTTGTCAGGCACGGTTAATCTCAACCATACGATAGTACGTAGATCAATTTGTAATCTTAACACAGAAATTTCAAACGAAACACTTAATAAAAATTTGTTAAAGTTTTGGGAAGTGGAGGAATTGCCACAAAAACAAATACTAACATCAGAAGCGCAGTATTGTGAAACATATTTTAAAGAAACGACAACACGTAATGCAGAAGGTAGATTTATTGTAAGATTGCCATTTTCAGATAAGATAGATGAACTTGGTAATTCAATGTCAATAGCCTTAAAACGATTTCACGCAACCGAATCGCGATTAGAAAGGAATAAAAATCTCAAAAATGAGTACCACAAATTTATGCTGGAATATGAACAATTAGGTCATATGTCTCCTAATACAAATAACTCAAAAAGTATCGAAGAAATATCGCATTTTTTACCGCATCATGCAGTAATAAAAGAATCCAGTACTACGACTAAATGTAGGGTAGTATTTGATGCTTCAGTAAAAACTAGCAATAATATTTCACTCAACGACCGGTTGCTCATGGGACCGATCAGTCCGATTTATTCCATATTATCATTAGGTTAAGACTCAGAAAAATTGTGTTAAACGCCGATTGTAAAATGATGTTTAGGCAGATTTTAGTGCATCCACATGATCGAAAGTATCAGCAAATTTTATGGCGATATGAACGACAACAGCCTATCATGACATACACTCTTAACACATTAACTTTCGGAACAAAATGTGCGCCATACCTTAGTACACGTTGTTTACTGCAATTGGCAATTGATAATGAAGAAAGTTATCCAAAAACAGCTCAAATAATTAAAAATTCATTTTACATTGACGATTTGTTAGTTAGTGTAGATACCATCGAAGAAGCTTTGCAATTATATAAAGAGCTTACAGTCATTTTTAGTACTGCAGGTTTTCAATTAAGGAAATGGTCATCAAATATAATCAACGCATTCTTTATGATATTTTAGGAAATGGAAATAATGATGAAAAATTGGTTCAATTTTGCGAAGGCAAGGAGTTAAAAACCTTGGGTGTGGTCTGGAATTCGATTTCAGATACACTGCATTATTCGGTAAACATAAAATCTATTCCTACACTAATTAACAAACGACACGTACTTTCAATAATTAGTCAAATATTTGATCCGATGGGACTTATTGTTCCAGCCATTATAAAACAAAAAATATTAATACAAACATTATGGACATTAAAACTCGGTTGGGATGAACCATTGCCAGAAGAACTACGTCTTTCTTGGATCACATTTGTAGAACAACTAAAATCATTACACGATATAAAAATACGCAGACATGTAGTATGTGAAGAGGCAACACGCGTTGAAATTCACGGTTTTAGCGATGCTTCTGAAAAGGCATACGGTGCGTGCTTGTATTTAGTATCAATAGACAAATACGGTAATTATTACTCACATCTTTTATGTGCTAAATCCAGGGTTGCACCTATAAAAAAAGTTACATTACCAAGACTAGAATTATTAGCTGCAGTTTTATTAGCAAAACTTGCAAATAATGTAATCTCATCTCTGGGAATTAAAATTTCAAAAATAGTTTATTATTGCGATTCAACCATAGTACTCTCATGGATAAAAATAGATCCTAGCCAACTTAAACCATTTGTAGCACACAGGGTAATAAAAATTAACGAATTAACAGATAAGGATAATTGGAGACATGTAAAATCGGAGCATAGCGCGGCCGATATTATTTCACGTGGTATCAATCCAGCACAACTCTCACAGTTGGAGATTTGGTGGCAGGGACCTTCTTTTATATAAAGCGGGGAATCTGAATCAGATATTTTTATTGAACAACCTATCTCATCATTACCAGACATCAAACTAACTCTATTAAATGTTCGGGATGATCAATTTAATCTCTTTACTAGATATTCAACGTTAAGTAAATTGCAACGGGTAGTAGCGTACTGCTTCAAATTCAAAAACATTACTTTGGGAAAAAACAAGACATTGACAAATACTTTATCAGTTTCAGAACTCGAAATATCACTTACAGCTTTAATTAAGATTGCTCAACACGAACAGTTTTCACAGGAAATCAGACTTCTCCAGAAATCACAGCCATTAAATAATAATAGTAAATTAATTTCTTTACATCCATTTTTAGATGAACATGGTGTTATTAGAGTAGGAGGGAGATTGAAAAATTCTCTACTGAACTACGAAAACCAGTTTCCCATAATTTTATGCGGTAAACATATTTTTACAAAACTCATCATTAAACACGAACATCTGAAACATTTACATGCTGGGACACAAAATTTATTATCAATAATTCGTTTAAAATATTGGCCCATTCATGGAAAAAATGCAGTGAAGGGTGTAATCAGGTCCTGCGTACGATGTTTCAGGGCAAATCCAAAACCTACAAGTTTTCTAATGGGGAATTTACCAACTGCTAGAGTAATACCCAGTAGAACATTTTCCAAGTGTGGCATAGATTATGCCGGACCAATTTTTGTGAAAGATGGAATTTTACGCAAATTCAAATTGGTAAAAACATACATATGTATTTTTGTATGTTTCGCAACTCGCGCAGTTCATATTGAACTAGTAAACGATCTTTCCACTGATAGTTTTATAAATGCACTAAAGCGTTTTATATCGCGGAGAGGCAAGCCAAGTGATGTGTTCTCGGACAATGGATCCAATTTTGTAGGTGCTCATAATCATTTTCGTGAACTCTACGAATTAACTCAAAATTCGGATCATAATGAGAAGGTTTCAAATTTTTTATCACACGAAAAAATTACTTGGCATTTTATTCCTCCTAGATCGCCTCATATGGGAGGTCTATGGGAGTCTGCAGTTCGTTTGACTAAATTTCATTTAGTTCGAATATTAGGAAATGCAAATGTAACGTATGAAGAGATGATAACAGTTTTAACACAAATCGAGGCATGTCTTAATTCACGTCCATTGACTCCTCTTTCCGATGACCCTGACGATTATTTACCACTCACACCGGCTCACTTCATAATCGGTGAAACATTAGCTGCGATTTCACAAGCAGATCTTAAAGAAATCAAGATTACACGATTGTCACGATACCAACGGTTACAGCAGCTATTCCAGCATTATTGGAGTAGATGGTCGCATGAATATTTGACACAAATGCAACAACGACGTAAATGGAAACACGACCAGCAGAGTCCAATTAAAATAGGAGCTCTCGTTATTCTAATGGAAGAAAATACTTCACCACTTCGATGGCCAATGGCACGTATAGTCCAGCTTCATCCAGGAGCAGATCAGGTGGTGCGTGTAGTATCGGTAAAGGTACCAAGTGGTAGTGTATTCAAACGTACGTTAGCGAAAATTTGCGTGTTACCAGTAGAAGATACGGAAATTTCTATTGAACAATCAACCTAACAATTATTGTTTTTATAAAGCTTCCATTGGAAGAATTTGTATTACTTACCATAACATATTGTTTTTATATTTCTTTGAAAGCAGATCTTTCAAGGGGTTCGGCGTATGTGCAATTTTGCACTAATTTTAATCTAGTATTCATTATTAGAGTTTGTATTTGAATACAAATAGAAATGTCACAACGTTCCATTAAAAATTTCAATACAGTTCATTTAGTTCAACAAATTTGATATTATTCTCCTTAATCGGAGTGGTCCTTCGAGACACAACAAACAATACACATCAGATTTGATTTTTTTAAATATCTCGTTTATTTACTTAGATATGGGGGGTGGTAAATTTTCAAATTGTCACCCTGTATATGCAAGAACGCATTCTTCAGATACGGGTTTGCCAACTTCTAGCAGTAAACATAACTAAACACTTGGTCTAAATTGGCCTGGCGTTTTCTTCTATCGGTGACGTGCAACTCTTCTTACTGTTATACTAATTAACTATTAACTAATTAACTAAATAACTAATAATCGTTCCGTAAAGTTCGTTCTTGTGATTAGTAGACCACATTCTATGCTCGTTGTATAATATAGGTACTATTACATTATTAGTCCTGGATCATATACATTATATTTTTATATTTATATTTATTTTTTAAAAATAAATGAAGAAAGTATCCAAAATGAAAAGGGTAGAAATATACCTGGAAATTTGTTGTGTTGGTGGTCTAACGATTTACAATAACATTGAAATGCAAGTTGACTTCTTATCCTCACATTAGGATTGGTGACTGAAGAATCCAGGTGGGTGCAGAGGAGGTCCAGGAGCCACCCATGGTCTCCTATTTAATTACTCAATGGTACGAATATTGTGGTTATGCCCTCATTTGGCCTGTGCATCATATTTCATAATAGTTTGTTTGACGACTCAGACGAGCACAACAATTTTGATTAGCAGCACGTAGGAAATCGTCACTTTATATTTTAGAACAATTTCTGATAAGTTCCGTGATTGCACCATTACAATGGACCTAATTTTGGAATTTCTTCGTTTCGATGATGACACATCTGACTCATATCAATCTTGGAATTTAGTTTTGACATAAAAAAAGTCCTGATGCGAAGTTGGAGAAGTAGAGAGAAAGTATTTCAAAACCATTCTTTACCGCTGATCACAAACGGATCACTAATACCTTCAATATTACACAACGATTTTTAGAAATGCATTTATTTTTGTACAGCCAACAGTTGCATTACGATTTCGTACATTTCTCCTAAGCATCACATTTAGTCAGCATCATTACTGAGAAAGTGGTGTTACAATCACTTTCAAATTTATTCGTGTGAACAATATTGATCTCTCCATACCTGCTGCGCGGTACTTTTTTCGTACCATCCCAAAACCTGCAATCAAAATGAATTTACTACCAATTCCTTTTATTACGAAGTTTAAATGAACCGCCATTCAACAATGTACCGTTAGATTATACCATCTGCATTCTGTTTTATACAGTCATAGAATACGAGGCCATTACTACATCACATCAATAGTAACTTTCTAAAAGAAATACCTGTTTCAGACCCGCATGTCTACTTTAGTTGGCCCGCCATAGCGCAAGAGCGAGTGTGGCGCTTTAAGTGTTTTTTATTGATAAATAATAATAATAATGACGGAAAATGGATAAGTTTTAAGAACTAATTATACTTTTAAATAATTGTACATTGACAGTAGATGTAAGATAAAATAAGTGAATACAGTTATATGTGTTTACAGTTGCTTATGGAGACTTCAATGATGACTTAGACAACGAAATTAAAAACTAAATAATTATGTTGTATTCCGCTAATTAATGGTTTTGTGTTGTGAGTGTTTTGTGTTAATCTCAAAAATGGAAATTAGGATACACTACATCTGTTTCATCACATTTTGGATAATTACAAAAGGTATGATTATAAGAACACCTCCGTTACGAAAGCAACTTTGCCACTGTTGTTGATTTCAATTGAAAACTTATTCGCCTGTCGACGTCACGTTTATGTGTAGTAAATGAAAAACGTACACTGAAATCCTTAATAACCCCGAAATACGAGTTAAAAGGTCTTTAGGGCATTCCAATCCATATAAAAAATAGAAATTGAGCAATACACGAACTTTATCTATGTATGACTTTTAAGTTTTAAGTGTCGAAAATCTCCTTGCTGCTTAATCCTGCACTTGGTTTCCAAGAATTGAGGATGTAGTGACGTGTTTATGAGGAGTGTTTTTCTTTGAAGGTTGTCAGAGTTTAGTAATATATCGTCTTGTTTATTTCGTGTAACGTACTTGATTGAAGGATGTGAAAAACGGACGGATCGTTAACTCAAAGGTTACCTTGTATTTGAGATATATGTAAAATTGTTTAATTTAGTAAATGCACTGGAAAATGTGCACGTCTCTTTCAATGTAGGTTTGCAGTAAGTATTCGTTTCTCGTACCAATTAGAAAGTAGATTTCTCCTGATCATGAAACGTCTTGACCTAATTACTTTCTATACTTACTCTAATCAGTTAGGCTTAAATGCAGCTTCAGGAAAAGTAAAGTTCGCTATTATTAGTATTAGTATTATGTTTAATTACCCTAACGATTAATGCAGATAACAGTTCTTTAATTTATCATTGTAACTAATCGACACGTGAGATCCTATAACCTATAACACAAAAGCTATGGGTTATGAGTTATGAATATATTTTCTTGAGACCCTTGTAAGTTATTCCGATCGATGCGCTTTCCTGTAGTGGAAAATTTATATGGCATGGCAACAAAATTCAATAAATTGTTATTTTGCCTCTTCAAACATTAGCTCTGTATAATATCTCTATAAAATGTCTTTTTATACAATCGATCTCCAAAGTAGAGATTTGCGCTCATATTTGACAACGCAAACGTCATCTTTTTCGAGGAATGTCACTGTCACAGATGTGTTCGCGTGTTGGGTCAAACGGTGCTATTAATTTTTAGATAGATTCAATTGAATTGATTTTAGTGGCATGAGTCCTATATCCGCCTTGTAAGCCGCAGGTTTGAGGCATAAGATTGAAAATACCAACTAAGAGATGAGAAGGGGAGAATTTCACAATTTATTAAAGTTGAGAAGAAAGTGGTAGGCTGATAAGAGGTTCAATCTTCGGGACAAGTCGTCCACTTTTTAGTTGAACATTTTTTACAGAGGGCGCCAAGTGACATACAGTCATACCGAGCGATAAGAAGCAGTTTCTTATCGCTCGGTATGACTGTATGTTTTGCAGGGGACTAAATTCATCTCATTCATCACGAGACACTTCAAGTATAATATATATTGCTGTGTGCACTGGTTGGGTCAAATAAGAACCATACACACAAAAATAACTGCATTTCCCCACGCTGGGCGAGCAAAATGAACTTCGGGCCAAATACAACACTTTTCGAACCTAGCAAGACCTTCAATGACTTTTCTTTTTATCGGTACAGATATGCACTCCGATACAGTAGAATGATTTAATTCTGATCTTAAATTTCTGACCTCCGCCACACAGTGATCAAGATTAAAATCCATAAATTCCAACCGGGCTGTTAAAAATTTTTTTTCACTACTAGCGTCTGATGACATGATTATTAACCCTTTTTCCACTTGTAAAGTAGGCTTTCTCGGCAGTTGTTCAAAGTGGTTAATAATGTGGACATTATTAACTAGTAGTCAATAATGAGAATGTCACGCTGTCACTTTTAGAAAACACAACCCGAAATTTCGCTCAATAAACGTTTAGACAAGTTATCTAAAATGAATAATTGCCACCATCCGCCATTTCTAGAGAAATTACATACCTAAAATTATAACATTTTGAAAAAATTCGAACGAAATTACTCTTTGAAAATATCCCAATGACAGAACAAAATACGGCCTGTTTGACTTGTACTTACTTCAACGTACTTGATTGACATTTTAAATTAATAAACAAAAAATTCTGTCTAATCGTTCACTTTCTTATCAATATAATACGTTAATTTAGAGGACTTCAAGTGGTAGTAGTGAAAAAAATAGTATATATACCACGGCAGAGAAGTCACCTTACACCCCTCGAGATGTAATCTTGGTGCTCAGGCAATAATACTGGACTTCTCTACCTTGGTATATAATGTACTATTAACTAACACTTAATTAAACTTTGGGCGTGAATCAATAAAGTTAATCGTAGTAGAGCACAAGACCTCTCCTTTCATGGTTAAATTATCCGAATGAACACAAAACTTTTCAAATGCCTTGATCCAAACCACAACGTCCCAACTGACAGTGTTTACACAGCAACATATTGCTGTGTTTATTTTGTTTGGCAGGATGAAATTTTCAGAAATCTTAATTAATATGGACTAGGGCGGTCTTTTGTGTGTAATTAACATTTGTAGTTAAATTTTATTAATTTGTCGTTGGCGAGGTCGTTGGTCTATGTAACGGCATGGGGATTATTGTGTCATATCAGAAAGCGGTCAAGATAGTTTATGTTTACATTTTTATTTTATTTAACTCTGGGAATTGTTGAGTCTTTATATGTTATCAATTGTAAATGCTTAATTTAATTGATGGGTGGATGTGATTTATCGTTTTTCTGTGTAGTTAAGAGATATGAAATATTATTTTTTGTATGATTGGTTGTTATAATTTTGATTTTCGGAAGAAGGGTTTCGCCGTAAATAGGACGTTAACAAGAAAAGCGTCGCTTTTAGCCACAGTCAACGAAGAACTAAGTTTAATTGAAATTTAGAATCGGCTTTTAGTGTCAATCAGAGCAGAGTTCTTTTGGAAATTTTAAATCAGCTTTTTGCTACGTTCAGCACCCAGTTACGTTTTGTTGGCGAATTTATTTCGCTTCTTGCGAATTCCATCGTTGATTTACGGCCAGTTAGTACTCATTTGAAGCCACAGCTAGCATTGAAAGTTTTCGTTAAATGAGTTTGAAGATTGAAAAAATTTCGTTTGTGAATCCGGAAGCCGAATTCGCAGCTAGTTTTTGTTCTACGTTCTGAAGTCTTGGCCATCAAAGGTGCCCCAAAGAGAGGTGTTTATCGGCGCTCCTATAAGTGTGTTTTCAACGTGATTCAGTTTGAAGTTGAGTTTTTTTTTATTGGAACGTCCTTGTCTATCCGAAGTGAAGATGCTGCGATTACCCGGTCGTTAGTGTAAAGTGTGTTAATTGAAAATTGTAATTTTTGGTGAACTGTGTACGGATACCTTTTGTTTGGATTACAATTCCCGTACAAGTAATGTAAGTAGTTCAGTTAAGTTTTAATTTTAGTCTTTTTGTAATAATTGTTTGTGTTTTTGTACCACTTTCCTTGTGTGGGTTAGAATTAAATCGCACTTTTGTAATTGTCACATTAATTCTCCGTGTGTTTCATTCTAACGACATTTCTAATTTACCTGTGTTTTCATTGGATGCTTGCCCAAGGTCCACTTTAATTATTCAAAAGTTTGAAGTGCAGTTTGGAGTTTAAGATCGAGTTTAAGATATTTGGTTTGACTCACTATCTTTTTTAGAAGTTAACAGGTTAACTGAGAGCAGAGTCGAATCTCTGATCTGTGCTGGGGAGAAGTTTTGTGCCGTGTTAATAAGTGAAGGTTTTTGTGTTAGTGTTTTGTGTACGGTCTTTCTGGCCTACGGATCAGTGCACACAGCAATATATTTACTTGTATTGCTCATCGACATATTTCTATAATACATCGCGGAAAAAACAAGGAAGCGACAGAGTGTAAGGAAGAAACAAGAAGTCAGTTCTGTCGGCACTCGCCAAGTGCCACTTTTGAATTTTTTTAGTTTGTAGGTCTTTGAACCTGAAACATAGCTGTTGACTTATTTTCAGTTACGATATAGAAATATTCAATATTCACCGCTCGATGCCATTATGACTGCTGAAACATACGTTCTGAGAGCTTGACTCAAAATTGAGTAAACCATTACGCCACTGATCTTCACAATCATGAAAGTTCCCCGTCGTTTTTCCCTCGATCTTTCCATAAACGTTATAAAAAAGTGATCATAATTATGTATTTTTTGGAATTCTGAAATTCTTTTACACTTTTGGAATTCTGGTGTTCACTTTTAACTTCAGTGTTTTACCCTCGGGTTTACCCTTGGGTACACCCCTCAGTTTGTTGTCTAAAATATTATACCGACAATATGCATAGTCTCCTTTGATAGTATAACGCCCATTTTGAAACCTATGAGATAAAAAAAATAGAAAAAGATAGAAACCCAATTCTCGTTCCACCCTAATCTCTATGTTCCTCCGCATAATGGTGCTTTATAGACGTGCATTAAATTATTCCATCAAATAAAAGAACTGATTTATGCTCGTTTTTTGGTGCTGTACGTTTTCTCCCACGTTTTCTGCGCCAATCTCTGCGTTACAATCTAAAACCGAGCCTAAAACCTATATACCTACATTTCCAATCGAGTTTTCATATGTAATTTAATATATTGTGGGGTTGAAGGAGGATCTCGGATCGGGTAAATTATGCTTTGTACATCAACGCCCACGGTTTCTACGCTACTATTTTAACAACTATACCGAATCTTTGAATAAGGAATGGTTATATATATTATTATATATATAATTTCATGCTAATAATAATAACCGAGCTAATAACTAATGTATCTATCGTCTAGCCGCCAAAGTTCGCACTTGAATATTGTGCTGTCGATTATTTTTTGCATACGATTTTGCCGAAGAAGAATCCTCCCTTGAAGTCCCATGTAAATTCGTCATGAAATTATTATTGAAATGCCTTGAAATCACTGAAGTCGTATTGAAATCGCTTGAGTTTTACATCGCTTGGTATCCTTTTTAAAACACTTGAAATTGCATCTTTTGAAATTACAATGAAATCGATTTTAAAAAAACGACAGTTTACTTTCCGGATTTCCCGGGAATT